GTGCTCTACATCAATGCTCTCTTCTTCAATCCAGCCATGACAGAGCTTCACATCTATTGAACATTGGTTGATGTGTTGAATGGCATCTTTACCCATTGTGGGTGAGGAAAATAGACTCCTGAGTGAATCAGATATCTAACAAGGGTGTGAGACTAATACTTGTCCCAAGGGGATTGCTACTGAGTAGCAAGTCCTCGAGTAAGTGCAAAGAATAGACTCTGTCTAGTGACCTGAATGGTTCCAATCCTTACTAGGATCAGAAATGCACAGATGTGAAAATGCGTGATGAGCGGAACAAAGTGCACAACAAACGGAACAAGCACACAACTAGCAGAACAAATGCACAACAAACAGAACAAACACGTGGACAGAAGTCACAGATACAATGGGCAGAAGAAGAAACTACAAGCCTATATGAGGAAGATTGGGCAAAGTTGGACCAGGCTTGCATCTGGTACTTGTTCCAAGTTGTCAGATTCAGAAAGTCGGGTGTCTCGAGTGGAACACACAGATGCATGCGCATTGTGATGAGGTCAAGAATAGATTCAGGAAGATATCAAACAGTGAGTGGAGTACTGGAGAAGTACTCTGTAAGTGGAAGTCAAGTCAAGTCTAACCAAAGGTAAAAAAAACTAAGATCCCATCTTTTTCTATCTATATAGGAAGGTGTTCCAAAGAGCACTGCACTACAACCAGATGAGGCTGTGAGATAAGGATCTGGTTCTGAGAAGCGGAAAGATCCATATAAGTATCATAATATGTGTGTAATGAGATAGCGACATGTCAGTAACAGCATCAAATGTAGCAAGTACTCACCAGTGAGGGATAGAAGGACAGGGACAGGACAGAGGAGGATGTTCCGAAGGCTAAAGGGATATAACACACGTGATGCATGGTTGTTCCGCTTGGTTCCGCATTGTTCCGCTTAGTTCTGTGAAGTGGGTGAGTCAGATAAGAAGCAGATAGGTAGCAGAACACTGCGGAAAGGTACTGGTAAGATCCAGGGAATATAAAGAATACAGGCCTACAGTGGGAACATTCCCCACACTGCTGTGGGTGAGGAAAATAGACTCTGGGTGATTCAGAAGTCTATCAAGGGTGCTGAGACTTATACTCATCCCGAGGGGATTGCTACTGGGTAGCGAGTCCTCAAATAAGTGCGAGGAAACAAAGACTAGACTCTGTCTAGCTGACCCGAAGGGTTCTGGTCCTTACTAGGACTGGAAACACAAAGATGCGGAGGGTTCCCGACAAGCAGGAACTCAGTGCGCAACGAGTGGAACTAACAGAACTAACTGCGGAACAACAGAACAAATGGGGAGCAAACAGAACTAATGGGGAACAAACGGATGGAAAAGAAACCAGGAGCCTGCAGGAGGATGATTGGGCAAAGTCGGACCAGGCTGGTGTCTGGTACTTGCTCCAAGTCGTCAGATCCGATGTCGGGCAGTTTCGAGCGGAACCCACAGGGGCGGAAAAGATGCAATGTGATCAGGAATAGATTCGGGAAGATATTTTAAACAGTGAGTGGAGTACTGGGAAGTACTCTGTAAGTGGAAGTGGAGTCGAGTCTATCAGAAGGTAAAAAAACTAAGATCCCATCTATTGCTACCTATATAGGAAGGGGTTCCGAAATGCGATATGCTACAACCGGGTGAGGCTGTGAGATAAGGAATCGGTCCCAAGTAGCGGAAGGATCCGTATAAGCTACCAGTAACACATGGGAAATGAGATAGGAACATGTTCGTGACACAGGGAACGTAGCTAGTACTCACCAGCAAGGATGGAAGGATGTGGACAGGATGGAGGATGTTCCGAAGGCTGAAGGAATATAATGCGTGTGGTACGCGATTGTTCTGCTGGGTTCCGCTGGGTTCCATATAGCGGACGGGTCGGGGAAGATGCGGATGGGTGGCGGAACATGCAGGAAAATGGTGGGAAGGCATGGGAAATATGCGGGATACGGGCCTACAGTGGGGACGTTCCCCACATCGGGAAGATATTTTAGACAGTGAGTGGAGTACTGGGAAGTACTCTGTAAGTGGAAGTGGAGTTGAGTCAATCAGAAGGTAAAAAACTAAGATCCCATCTATTGCTACCTATATAGGAAGGGGTTCCGAAATGCACTATGCTACAACCGGGTGAGGCTGTGAGATAAGGAATCGGTCCTGAGTAGCGGAAGGATCCGTATAAGTACCATAACACATAGGAAATGAGATAGGAACATGTTAGTAACACGGGGAACGTAGCTAGTACTCACCAGTGAGGATGGAAGGACATGGACAGGATGGAGGATGTTCCGAGGGCTAAAAGAATATAATGCGTGTGGTATGCGATTGTTCCGCTGGGTTCCGCTTGGTTCCATGTAGCGGACGGGTCAGGGAAGATGCGGATGGGTAGTGGAATGCATGGGAAAATGGTGGTAAGGCATGGGAATTATACGGGATATGGGCCTACAGTGGGGACGTTCCCCACACCGCACAGTTGCCTAGGTACAATAAATCAACAGGCAAGGAGAGCAGTGCTGTTAAGACTGTGCTCAGGGGTAAGGCAGAGTCTGAGGGGCTTGGCTTCAGCTTGTGCACTGTGCCCCTTACCTGAGTACATGCCCCTAACTTTGGATTGTAGTCCAACTTGAGTTCTATGAGCTCCAACAGGACATTGGAGCAGAGGCTCTCTGAAGGAGGGCCAATGGACTACCAGATCGAGTGCAGGAAAGTCGGGCGGAGGTTGACCCACCTGACAGGAGAGAGTCAGAGGGCTACTGTGGTCAGAACCCACAGTAGAAACAGAGCGGATAGGACTGCTTGGACAAAGTCCAAAGCAGAGCAGAAACAAATAGGACAGATGTACAAGAGTGCTGAACTCAAGTCCAACATGCAGGAAAGGTGGCCAAGGCGCAGGAAGTTGGACAAGCAGAGAGGGCAGCCAACCTAGGAAGTCAATCCCCTAGGCCAGCAAACAGGAGTTGACAAGGGTTATGCCCAAGTCAAGGAACAGAAGAGCAGGCTTAGAAAAGGTAATATTCAGACTGAGGTATCTACAGACAAAGTACATATGTTTACATACTCTAAGGTAAGTTGCATAGCATAGCAGGAGGCTATGTGCTGAGTGTGCAGAATTACAATAGGATGACAGAGAAATATGAAGTGGAGGCTTGTAGAACAGTGTGTACATGACAGATCAGTGATCCTCAGTTATAGGAATTACTGGTGATCCAAAAGGAGAAACTATAGTACCAAACGGAGGTAGGACCAGTTGAGTGATTCCTAGTCTAGAAGTGGACCGGTCAGGCGGTCAGGCGGTCAGGCAGATGAGAAACTGGAGGAACCGAGTGGGTTGGAAAAGCAGAAATGGTGGAGGGAGTAGGAGTAGGATCGGGTGGACTGACAGAGCAGAGGAGTGGAGCTCCAGATAGGGTTGGATGGTAGGGATATAGGGTCAGAGGAAATAGGGGTAGTGTCAGAGAAGTGGAACAGAGTTGGGCAGAGGTAGCAGGGCTAATCCTGCTGAGATGCACTGCATGCATTGTCAGAGAAGGAGGGATGGAGTGGATGAGGAAACAGGGGGTTGGACCAGCAGTAGGGATGTCTGTGAATGGTTGTCACGAATTCCCAATACAAATCATTTTTCGTTTCTCAGCTTTCCTCCAGCTACTTCTAATAACCGAACCAGTCACATGACTTCACTTCATGTCACATCTTCACCTCTTCACATATCACCCATTGTATCTCCAATTGGTTCCCCAACTCCATGGGCTAGAACAATCTCACTTCCAGAAGAAGTACCAGGTTGGATCTTGGGTTTCTCTTTAGTCACCATCTTACTCATTGCTTATATATCACGACATCATGATCAGTCATCCACAGTATCATACGACTCTTTTCTCATTGGCTGATTTCTTTGATACTCAGATATCTCCTCTTCAATGTTATGTATATAAGTAGGTTAGTTAGCATAAGTACTCCTTAGACTTAACCTCTTTGTTTCTACACTTGTAGTAGACTTAGACGTTCACACTCAATCCTATCTTGTTATCATCATCAACTGTGACCGAGTCCTAGTGGTTGTGTGTTAGTCTTTGCCATTTGGTGAACGCTAGCCATAAAAATGGTATTGGAAGTGGTTGAATCTGCTATATGACAAGTGCTCTTTTGGCATTTTTGGAAGCCAACTGGGGTGGGCCCACCAGGAAATACATGATATCCATCAACCCCATGGGAGACTCAGGTGTTCGCAAAATCTGGGATCTCATGCAGATCTGAAGATGAGCATGCACTCATCTGCTAGTTGGTGCTGGTGCAGTCTTTCATTTTTTTGATGTTTACTATCTCACAACTAACTACTAGTGTCTTTCTAGTACTTCAAATTACTTGTCTACTGGTATCTCATTCTTCACATGGCATTTCTAGCCACTGCCATTACTAATACTAGTGCTATCATGCCATGCCCATTTTCCACACATTTAATTCTGTTTTTTTTCGCTCCCTATGATCTATTTTTAATGTCACTCACTCTCCTTTTTTCTCACTTTCCCCAATATCACTTACAGCGCTTTGCGAATATGATGACAGTTGTATGCTTTCGGAGAAAGAGAAAGAAATAAAAATGACAGTGTTCAAATTAGACCAAACAATGCGCATCGCGAATCCATGGCACGTCTGTTAATATCTTGTATCTTATGCCCCTACCATACAGCAGTATATTCTTTGATACATTCTCTGACAATAGTATCATTGAAATTATGAGCTCCCCTTTGAGTCAGTGCGAACAATCTGTGTCTGTTGAATCCACTGTCCTCCCAAGGAACAGCCAGAAAAAGGTTCGTCGTACTCTCGGATGACTTAGAGCAGAGCCAGCTCGTAGTGACACCATAGTACTCAGCCAACACTGCACCAATCAACCTTACATTAGCTATATATCCCCAGGATGAGATGAAGAAGCCTGACAAAAGATGAAAAGATGTAGCAGCACTCCTCAAAATTGCACAAGGCCTGGATTGGGATGAAGTGAAGGTCAAGATTACCGAGAAGCTCGCTGAACATCTCAAGCTTAAGAAACCTGATCTCTCGGACTACGAACTCACATTCTCGGTACCTCGGCATCAAACATCTCCAATCCCACTTGCAAATGAAGATGACTTCAACAACCTACATGAAGCAGCCATCAAGTGCAAGGACCCTCAAGCGAAGGTTATTATCAAGGCTATTCTCAAGAAGGTACATCAGATGAGTGCATATATGCAGTGTTAGATGACAATACCTTGATCAAGAAAGGGATGGGGAAAGAAAACAATGTTGGCAGTGATGACAAAGATGATGGGACCGACGATGACAGTGCCGACAGGCCAAAGAAGAAGAAGAAAAGCAAGGTGAGCATGAAGAATAGGTAATGAGACAAACATGCTGACGTGAATGTTAGAAAACCCCAGATGAACTTCCATTGAACATCGAGGTTGCTGCACACGTCAAGACACTGCGGAACTGGTGGGTCTGTAACAAGGCAGGGTGCCTATCGAGTGGCCAATGCTACATTCCTCCGGACAATAAAGAACATTTTCCGCTTAGCCACAACCACTTTCAGATTTGGGCTGCTGCAATGGTCATCTAAGATTTTTCTCGCTCTCATAATTAGCCACTCATGGTTTTATAGGCGAAGAATCCACCCCTTGCGACTGTAAACCAACCTCCAAACCATCATGCTTTTGATGGTTTGCATGACAACCAAATGGCTGCGAAATCACCTCTCCTTCAGCGATGTTTAGCCAATCACGACAAGAACACATCCAGTGCTCCAACCATCAACTTCAACATACCACCTGAGCTCCTTGGCTTCCTTCGTCCCCCGGCACCCGAGAATGCTGTCCACATAGAGACCGAGAGTTGATGCCCCTCCTACTTCCAACAATGGCAGCCTGGTCTCAATCTCATGCTCAATGATTTCTGCACTAAGTTTTCACTTGCAAATGTGATCCTGACCAAGTTACACAATAACAGCTACACAGGAACACGTACCATCAAGTACATTGTGGTCTCTGAGCTGAAAGAAATGGGGTTCATGGACTGCAAGATCACGGCGATGAAGGATGCTGTAGAACAATGGTCTCGTCAAGGTTAGGTTCAAGTTTGCTGCTGTTTCCACCATGAATGTACTACTATTGCTTTCACTGTGCTGTGGACAAACATTATTCCTGTACACTAGAAGTACCCTGCATGTATAAAGTACAAGATTGCATCAGAGTCTGTGATGATTGTCATGGCTTCATATGCATCAAAAATAATGCTATCCGAGCCCACAAAATAGTCCTCATGACGATGAATGAAAGCCTTGATCTTTGAGAAAGCTTCCTCGATAGGATTCAAGTCTGGAGAGTATGGTGGAAGATATTTGAGTCAGTACACCTAGAAAACATAGTCAGATTTAGATTAGCAATTGAGAGCAAGACCAACCATGCAATGCAATCATTTCTGCAACTCCTTCTCTGTGATGGATCTTCGCATTGTCCATGACAAGGACACTGAGTTTTCTAGGGTATTGCTGGCAGAGAGGAAGCTTTATGGAGGTCAGTATGGTCCGTCGTCTGGTAGTACAAAGCAGAAAGACACTGACAACTGTCAATTCCAGAAATTCAATATATTTCACAGTGGTGAATGATCCTTCGATAACTGCTGAGGCAATCATTCCATCAATCGTGAGCAGACCGAGTGCAGACACCCGCGATCCTCTGATGAAAGGCTGCTGACTTTCTGTACGTTTCCCACACTTCGAATGGCCCCAAGCCCTCCCCAGAGTACATTCGTCCTTCGAAGTTTCATCCAGAAACCCAATTTCTTCTGGCTGGTATTGTGCCATGCGAGCAACAAACTCAGCACCATGCAGCTCATTCCTCTCTTTGGCAATGCACCACAACTTTTTGTAGGAAACCCCAGCATGCTCCAGTGTCCGATGAACAGTGACATAATGAATGGAAATGAACTGGTTACTGTCAAGCATTTCGGCAAGCTCATCCAGGAACCATGTAGGACAGTGTTCGATGAGTCAGACAAGGTAATCAACATCGTCATAGTATAGAAGATGGGGGTGACCATGAGTAGTGCACAACAGAGTGACGACATCACCTGTCTCCCTCCATAGCTTGAGTGTGCGCCAGAAGGTGCTTTCGGAGAAGCCAACACAGTTTATAATGTCATCTTTGGACATATGAGCATCTTTGTAGAGTTTCATTGCAGCAATTTTGACGTCGTGGCTGATTTTGCGGAACATGGTAGTAGAGAATAACATGGATACATAATGACTGTTGCTAGTGTTTTTTTATTTTTCTCTTTCTCCGAAAGCGTACAACTGTCATCATATTCACAAAGCGCTGTAATTAACTTGTCCGCTTGCTTGTCACGAATTCCTAACACGAATCATTTTTCATTCCTCAGTTTTCCTTCGGCTATGTCCCATACCCGAACTGGTCATGTGACACCACTACCTTTCACATTATCACATCATCACCATGTCACAACTTCACCTCTTCACATTTCATCAGTCACATTGCCGATCGGATCCCCTACACCCAGGGCTAGAACTATATGTCTTCCTATCACTTAATCTCCATCTCTGACATCATTACTTATATAACGCGACGTCATACTACGTCATGCGCAGTATCGTACGACTCTTTTCTCATTGGCTGATTATTTACAGACTCAGATATCTCCGACTCAATGTTATGTATAGGTAGGGTAGTTAGCGTAGTTTCTCTTTAGACTTAACCTCTTCGTTCCTACCCAGTGTAGACTCAGACGTTCACTCTCAATATCATCTCTTTGCTCTTATCCTTGACGAGTCCTAGTGGTTGTGTTAGGCCTTTACCATTTGGTGAACGCTGATCATAACATTGCTTCAACTTGCCTTGCTTGAGATGTAGTGTTTTCTCTTAACAAGTGTGGATTAAGTCTCAAAAAAGTACAAGCAAGTGGAAAAAGTATCACACATATCAACCACTTGCCAGCACTTGTGGAGCAGACCATTTTAATTCCTCTGACTCAACAAGTATCAAAAAAGTGCAGAAAAGTGCGAAAAAAGGTAAAATAAGAGGAGAGATCTACTTGTTGAACTTGCGGCGGCTTGCCACAAGTGGACGTCACCAACCTTGCGAGTAACTTATCGGCTCTTTTGTGGGAAAATAAGTCGTAAGAAGTGACAAAAAAGGAAAACAAGGAATATGAGAATTTACTGATGCATCTCCCTTGGATGATGCTCCTCACGTAGTCTCTGAGTTCTCCTAGGACAGTGAGGATCTCCTGGGGTGCGGAAAATGATTTTCCTTGAATTTGTCGTGGACACGCATGGTGTTTAAATTGATCATAAAGTGGGTGTTCATGCATGAATTATCCTCTTCACCTTCTCGGAGATTGAGGATGACAATTGACGACTCACATCCAGACTCCTGCACCTGGTAGGAAAGGCTTGGCAAATGTCACCGGGTATCCACCGTAGATGGTGGTGAGCATGCAGGGTTGACGGTGCTGTAGATGCACTTCATAACTCTAATGACCCGAGGGAGCATAGTCTGGTGGCTAGACCACGAACCTTCAAAAATGATGCTGTTCTAATCGGGCATGTTGGCAAAAGGCAATACGCTTTGCTCATGAAATGATGAGCAGAATTTGGATCGCAAGGGTTGTCGTAGAACGTCATCAGAGTTTAAAGAATCAAGAAGGAACGACTGTCTTCCTTCTATATGGTCTGGCTAGGGGAGACTAAGTTTAAAGTAATTACAGCACATCGGAAAACGTGAAAACAGCCATGTCCTGTCTCGTGAGGATTGGTGAAACCAACACGAAGCAGAAGACTCTGCGCACGTCCTCCACGTATCCCTTCATGCTAATTGCAAGCTCGCCCAAATATAAAATGACTTTTTACGAACATACGCACCGCAATGACGCGCATGTTCCAACGCACACCGTTAGGCCGCGGTTAGGCATCCAAGAACATTCATTTTGTTATGGAGATGGTAGTACAGCGAGAGGTATGATATACGTACAGATATACAGCTCCTTGCAAGACAAGTACAAGTGATGGTGAATGATTATTTCCACAATGTTCTGCTCTCTGGCGTCACTTTGAGTGAGCCTCGCCTCAAGACCCACACATCACTGTTGAGCGTCCGCCTCTCCATTGTCGCCGTTTCCGTTCTTGTGCTTCCGGCGGATGATAACGTATGTGTCGCTCGACTCGTCACCCGGAACAGCTTCAATGTCACCACCGACGTGGCCCACACGCTCAGGCTCGATAAGTTTCCTGTTGAAATAGATCAAGGCGTGAGGAACCGTCAGCATACGGTACAGTTGCAAATACTGACCGTTCAGCGCGAACCATATCGATGTCATGGGAGAGCAGACCATGGCCGGCGACAGGGCCATAATACGAGATTCCCGCAAGGGAGCCGATGATGCACGTACCCACGAGGATGGAAAGGTAGAAGCGGTACTGGGAGTACCATTTTGGTGCTGGGAAGAAGGCACAATCAGAAGGGAGTCGCGACTCGACAACAAGGAGACTAACTCCACCCGGCAGCGGTGACTTTATTATCGGCATACCACAGTGCAGTGAATCCAACCCACTGCCAGAGCAGCGCGAAAGTGGGCTGGAGGGTGATAGTTGACCACGCCAAAACTGCGGGAGAGATGCCGAGGAACAGACGTGGGTAGCCTTTGTGCCCACCCAGACCGCTAAATTCCATACCCCAGTGGATTGCGCCTAATATAAGATGAGCCAAAGTATTGAAACAGAAGTGGGGTCACGTGCCAAGGAAGGAGAGAAGCACTGCGCCATAGTGGACTTGGAAGTTGAGTGCTTGGTCTAGGACGTTAAGCGCAACACCAGGGTCCATGTTCGTGATAGCACCCATGGTCGCAAGACCTGCTTGGTGTGCAAGATAAACGGTAGTCGCAGATGACGCGATGTATGGGATACCACCAGCGAGGCCCATGGCAAGATAAGGGGTTGGCACGGAATGGGCCACTGCAGTGGTGATGCCGAACTACATGGAATGGTTGAAGCACGTTAATAAGCCGAAGTCTTGTCAATGATTCGCGCAAATGACACATACGAAGGAATCCTTTGTGGGCTTGACGCTGTCTACAGTGAACACACCGCCAGCAATCGAGCGCGCCCAGTCTGTCATCGAATTCCCGACTTCCTCCTTCACATTCTGCGTCGCATGCTCGATAGTCTGGCTGCCTGGTCTGCCAGAGACTGAGTTAGCCGCGAAACGTGCATGAACCTGGGCAAGGTTGATAACCGCCGGATGGGCTGTGAATTGAGAAGGGCGTTGAAGAAGCTGGGGAGGACGGCGAAGGGCGAGCGAGGAACGACGAAGAGTAGCTGCGCGAGAAAGACCACCAAAGAGTGTGTTCATAGTTGCAGTAAGTTGGGAGCGCGGTCTTGGTTGAACCACACCTTATAGAGTCAACTTAAATGACGTTGCGTGACATCATACACGAATGCCAGTCGTGTATTGCCAATTCATAATGGTCAGCCTATCTACGAACCATATCATAGACACCGTCCGCGGAAATGAAAATATAACGTCCATTTCACTCAGGCAGCACAAGTAGTGTTTACAGCTCCAGGCCGCCAAGAGGAAACACACGACTTCCGCAGCAAAAGAAGGTTAATCAATAAGCAATCTACAGGCCCCATAGGGCAGGCATTCCAAAATACGGGGTATCGCATGAAAATAGACCTACAGTTTGATGAAAGATGTATCAATCCCATGGGAAAAGTCCCAAATACAGATCCTCTACAGGGTGCGCGGTCAGTTTTTGGATTAAGGCTGAGAAGCATACCACCTCACCTGATCCTCCCCGCACGAAACAATCTGCAACGAATACATAAGCGCATCAATTTTAAGATTTAATTGACTTGTGAACAATCAAATGGAGGACGGACCTTGGTACAATCGAAACCCACACAGAATATCCTTCCCGTGTGGCCGCCAGTCAGGTCAGCAACCAGCGCCCCTGTCTTTCTGTCCCACACCTGTGTTAACATAAACTTCATGAGCCTCGTATGATCCCCGCGACTGCATCCAACATACCTTAATCGTTAGATCATAGCTCCCACTGACAGCAAACTCCTCCCCAAGGGCAACGCTTCGCACAAGATGTGTATGTCTCTCTTGCTCACGCCGTGCAGCCAGTCCCTGTGATCCACACGCATGACACACGACAGTATTCGCATCTGGCCGCGGGGTATCAGACACGGGCCGTGTTAGGGAGGCATGTAAAAAGAATGGTGCTGTCCCCTGTCCCGGTATCATTGCAATATTATCTTGGGCGTGCGATGATGACGAGGAAATCGTGCCAGAAGGAATAGTATCAGGGTTGGTCGACCAGCCTTGGGACGAAGCTATGTCAAACATGCGCAGATGCATATCTGACGAGCCGGACAACAAATATGGGGGTCTGAACTCGATAGAAGCGATGCTGAAGACGTTATCTCAGTCAATGATATCCACGGGAGAACAAAATTAAGAAAGGCTTCACCCTCGTGCGTGGTGTTCTTCAAAGGTGCTGATTAGCGCACCCGTGTTCGCATTCCAAACGCGCACGGAACGGTCACCAGAGCCAGACACTATCACGTCACCGACGACGGAAACCGCGTTAACAGCTGCACGATGTGCACGAAACACGAACTGAGGCTTCAAGGACGGAAATGCATATGTTCTGACAGTCCGGTCTGAGAAAGCATATATTCAGTCCATTGTGAGATAGAACTGTAAATCGCAAGCAAACCTTTGGAACAGGTCACCAGTCTCCCGCTATCAACACGAACGCAAAGTACACTGTCGAGATGATCTTGGAGCACCTTGACGAGCCTGTCCTTGCCGAGGTCCCAGACAACTACACGCCTATCACTGCCTCCGCTCACTAGTAACCCAGCATTACCAGGCCCGTCTGCCAGCGCCTCCTCTCCGTCAGGAGTTCCCGACTTCGCAAAGTCAGAAGAGATGCATAAGCTTAGGACGCTAGACTCATGCAATTCACCGACCACGCGTCGTACGCGGTCCGTGCGCAGATCCCACTCGCGCACAGTGCGGTCCTTCGAACCCGTAAACAGCACCTGCAGAGGTGCAGACCGACCATCGAGCCCCGCAGGATACGTCCATAACCAAAGGCAGTACACTGCAGCAGTGTGTCCACCGGTGTCTGCGCAAGGTAGGGTACGCCTGCGATATGCACCCTGGCAGAAACGATTGTGTAGGAGTATGTGCGTCTGGTGGAGGAGCTTATAGTCAGGTGCAAGATGCGCGCGTCGGGGTGAAAAGCCACGTTGCGAAGTGACACGGGATATCGGGGTGATGGCAGATGTGGAGGAGGAAGAGAATGCAGTATGGTTGATAGGTATGAGGAAATGGGATAGGCCCTGTGCTTCAATGTCGTCGATGTCCATCGGCATGGACGCCCAGTCTACTGAGTCATCCCCTATAAAATCGATGACATCGCCTGCGCCCTCACCGCTACCTTCGTCCTCGTCCTCCTCTTCGTCACCCATACCTTCATCTTCGTCCCTTTCTTCGCCAACGACTGCATCCGCGGGATCTACAGCACCAAGTCCGTCCCAAGAGGCAGGCGCAGCAACGTCCGTGCGCCATTCCCAGCCGTGTGCGTAGCAAAGACGACGCCACAATGCTTGGTCTGTTGCGAGGGCGTGCCAACGTTTGGATACAAGAGAGCAGGTGAGCAATGAAGCTGCTGAGAGATGCGTGAAGATGAGGAGAGAGAGTTCTATTGGAAGGGACTGAATATTAATTAATTTATTAGTTACGGCTGTTAGTGTCAAAACATCAGACTCACTCCGACGACATCGAACTGCAATAAAGGGGCCATTCTACGCTGCAGCCTTGCAAGTACAGAACGAGGAAGAGACTCGAGGAGCTTGTATGTCATTTCTGTGAACGTTCACGCGAACAGCAGCGCCGTAGTTCGGGTGAGTGGGGAGGGGCGCGGGAAACGAATTGCTCAATATCGTGACTGCTGAGCAGATAAGATACGGACCTTCGCGCTCCCTATCATTCGATGCCATGGTGGCCAAATGCCAATCGAGGCTCCGTGCGACGCCTTTGCCTTTGACGTCTACAGGTGATCCGGTCCAAATACCGCCTAGTGAGATCTGTTGCTCTAGGTTACCTGCACTCTTGTGGGACTGCCAGCCAGTTTGGTAGTTCGCTGGTGCCATAGCTATCTCCAACCCTGAGCTGGTGGTCGCTCCGTTGGTAGTGCTGCAGCTTTGTGAGAATGCGAACTTGAGTCCTTGGATATCTGCATCTGAAAAACCGTCGTCAGTGCGACTTATCATGGTTTCTGGTATGCGACACTGATACGCTGTGGTGATACAGCAGGTCTGGGTGCGCGGCCAGATGCCTCTTGAGTCTTTACACTCAAACGTTGATTGGCAAGGTGAAGTGTGGGCCAATGTAAACAGACCAAGTAACTAGCCTAAAATGGTAATCCCTCCGTCCCACATTCGGTCCGGTCGGACAGACAACTGAGTTCGACGTGCACACTCACAAACTGCCCGAGTCGGGCCCCATATGCGGATGCCGTCCCGCAATACAAGAAAGTCAAGGACACCCGACGTCCGCCTAGAGAGGAGTCTGCCGTGTTGCACGAAATAACGCGGAGTGACTCACCGTCCTTGATGTCGTACGTGACGCTGATTCGCTCCCGAACGTGCATTGGTGCACGGCGTTCCTCTGCCACCTCTCATGCTAGCTGGTCTGATGGCAGACTGAGGATACCTCCACGATGGCGCTTGGAGCCCGCCCGGTCATCACACTAGGATAACGGTGGTGAGTCTCGCGCTCGCGGTTAGCTCATTGTGCGTTGATATATATCCGTTGAATTCCCCAGCATACATGTGGATTTATTCACGATCTCAAACCTCAGTACATATACATTGTCATCTCATGACACTCTGAGTCGTCATGCAAAAGCTGCTTGCGTCCTTCGACTGTCTTCAGTATTTTCTTGATAGGCTCGGAGTTCTAGATATGACTGTACAATGGCTATCCTGTTGTCAGAATACATGTCGTCATAATATGCTCCGGTGGTATGTAATATAGATGTTGACGAAACACGAGATGCGGCCCTCCTTAATACACAGAAATGAAAACCAAGTATGTATATAAGTCCATATAGATCAATGTGTTTGAGAAGCAAGCTCCCAGCTCCCATCTCCACTGCCACTGCCGCTCTCAGGGCTTGCAGATCTAACGTCAGAACTCGCATCCTGGCCCGCTTCAGGCTCGTCTCTATACACGGGCGCAGGGCCGACAGACGACGGGTCGTCGTCGTCCAAGAACCCAGAGTGGAATCCTACACCACGCAACCGAGTCTCTTCATCCGCATCCTCGTCATCTGACACCTCCCCAAACGCATCATACAGCTCCTTCGCACGGGGCCTACCTTGCCTTGACACCGAGCTCATCGGCAGCTCATCACCCGCGCTGAGGGCAGCGTATGCTCGACGCTTTACATGGCGTCGCCAGAAGAACACACCTGCACCCACACCGAAGAGCACCACGGCGCCGATGGCCCCGAAGAACCATTTTTGGCTGGATACGAGGTTGGACATGTCTGAGAACCAGCCTTCGTCTGGCGTAGGCGTCATCGTTGCGGTCGCAGGCACGGATTGGGATGGGAATGCAGGCTTGCCGGCCTCGCCCTCGGCAGTCCCGTGGTCGTCGGGAAGACCAGAGGTAGGCTTGGGGTGAGATTTGCTGGATGTCGATGTGGGAATGCTGACTGCGTCGTCCCCATCTGTGGAAGGAAGCTGATACTGTGAAAGCGGGAGAACGTAGGTTTTTGCATCAGCGGGATCGACGGTGGAGCCCCAGAACATGAGACGCCAGCCATGAAAAGTTCCGCTATGCCCTTCGGCTGATTGATCAGAGACCTTGATCGTCCAAGTGCCAATAACATTTTCACCCCTGAAAAAACACTTAGCAATTTGAAGGACTGCCTTGGGAAACACATTCATACCAGTGCTTGACGGACATAAATCTCCACCCCCGGAAACCAGTGTCGGCACGGTCGTGATCTCGTTTAGCTGCAAGAACGCTGCGTACCCCGCCAGGGCTCGTGAGCTCAACTTCGACATCCCCGCGCTTGCTATGCGAGATCCACACTCTGACGGTCACGTGCTCCAACCCCTCAAAGTTGTGCGCGTCAAGCATGTCTTGCGTCACCGTGAACGAGCTCATAACACCTCCAGAGATGATCGGCTGTCCGCCTTCCATGTTTCCATCTTCCGTGAGCAAAGTACCATTGTTGATCTGTATGGCAGCAGGGTGGAACCACGCTTGCGGTTTCACAAGTTGCCAATCCTGCGCTGCTTGGACATAGGCGTAGCCATTAAGCTGCCCGAAGCCGTATTTGTACGAGTACATTTGTCCAGAGGCCATGGGCTCCCAGTCGGGGTCCTCGGGGTTTATCATCTGAGCAGTTTTGACGCACAAGTGTTGTATGTCTCGCCACGTGAGGTCAGGTCTGTCGTCAGAAAATTGTTAGCGTGAGCTCAGTTAAGGGATAAGGGTCTCACCGAACTTGAAGCACCAAAGCAAATACACCAGCTGCATTGGGGGCGGCGGCGGAGGTGCCTCCGTGCGAGTCGGTGCATTTATCATTGATGTCAGTAGTGACCTTCAAATAACCTCAGTTAATTTCCATGTGCGAAGTCGCAGGCTTACGATGCGTTGACCGCTCCCTGAACTGTATGCTACAACCATATTTGCAGCGCAAGGTTCAGAATAATATGGGTGTAGGCCTTTGAAGTCTACAGCCGAAACGGTGACCGAGTATATGCTATTGGTGTACCCGTCGAAATTGCACTGGTCTCCCTGCGCGGCCCCGTTTCCGCTGGCAAAGACATATATCGACCCTTTCCCTGCCCTACCATTTTGTATGCCGTTTACAACGGCCTTTTCAATGATATATCCCGGAGCTTCCATCGATCTGCCGTCGTCAGGTGGTCCCCAACTGCAACTGAAGATGGACACGTTTTGAAAGCCGTAGTTCAAGGCAGCCGCCTCGTCAACATCTGTTATGGGGCCAGATAATATGCGGACGCCGGCGACTTTTGACTTGTAAGCGAGACCGACACCACAGACGTCGTTCTTTACTGCAGCAATCTGACCGGCGCAGCGCGTGCCGTGGTGATCATCTGCAAGGATGGGAGTGGGCAAATCAGTGTGATCGTTAAAGTCATATGAATCTTCTGCATCCTGTGAGAAAGTCAGTGCAGGAAATGAATCGCGCAGCTTTAGCGTACGAAGTTTTCAGCCAAGTCCCGACTCTGGTAGTCCAGTCCATCATCCACCAGCGACGTAATGATGCCCTCCCCAGTGATGCCCATTTCCCACACACCCGTCACGTTCATCATATGTTCAGGGTACTGGTCGTTGACGATATGCCATTGCTTAGTAAATAGGGGGTCCACAAATCCAAGTCGTTCTGCAATGGCTTCCGAGGCTTCTGGTTGAGAGTCGCCAGGATTCACAGGAGGTGGTGCTCGTTCTAGAAAAGAGTTGTCTCGCTTTGTCCGTTGGCGTGGTATTTGAGGTGAGAAGTGTTTTATGGACGATAATATACGGTGCGCACGGGCTTGATGACCCACTCGTGGATATAAACTAGTTGAATGTGCTGAAAGGGCGACCAAATCCTCGAACCTGTCGAGGACCCTGTCTGATCCTGTCCTCGGAGAAAAACTGGACATGAGCTTCGCGGAGCGCACTAGCCATATGTTTCGCAGTTCCCCGACCTGCTCGACGAGCTCTACTCCCAGCTCTCCGGTACATTCATCTAGAGTTGAGCCTGCGGAAGGGATATGTTCGATGACATAATAATCGTGTGTTGCATAAGAGCGTTTGGCGGGTGTTGAAGCGCGGACGCATTGTTGAAGCAAAAAAGCTAGAAGGAGCGGGAAGGGTAGTCGCATGTCAGAAGTTGTTGACGCCAGCTGGAGTGACTTAGTACCGAGTAATGAACTCGACAATATTTACCCGGGCCACGTGGTCGAATTGCGGAAGCAGAAAATCACAGTCGTTGACCCACTTCGACCCCCCAAATCAACCTGTTTTGTTTCTATACTTTAAAGGTATCTCGGTTAAGCCTATCAATATCTCTTTGTCGGAACTAGTATTACTCCTAAGCCTTTATCCTCCATATACTTGCGGCTTAACTTATGAAGAAGCGGCGTTATGGGCCCATGTCAACCTATGCCTCATCCTCGAAAATGCCCTCAAAGAGGTTTGCAGAGCCTGAGCCAGAACTGGAGTCCTCACGCACCGAGAACAAAAGAAGGAAGAGGTCACCTTCATGCGTCGTAAGTTAGCCACTCAGTTGTTTCAAGCTAATATCAAACATGATTGCACGGTAGAGTGATTCAGACGCGTCAGAGAAATCAACCGTCGTCGTACGCGACTCGTCCGTGCTGAACGAGCCGGAACAGCCACCTCAAAAGCCCTCTGAGCCCAAAGAGCTCACAATACCTAAAGGCACGTCCAGTTTCCCCCCTCCAATCTCGTATTTCTAATGTTCCCCGTAGAAACACTGATTTATGCACCCCCCGACGACGAATACGACGAGGACGAGAACTTCCAGGTTATTGGCGAAACCGACCCTGCTGAACTCTCCGACTCTGACGATTCCGGGGGTGTACCTGTACGTGTTATAACAGATTTCTCTATATACGAGTGCACAACGGGACAGTTAGTGCCGGTTGGGGAGCTTATTACTGTTAATCTTGCAATGAACAGCAAGAGGTACCGAGCGTCCGGCTATGTAAAACCCCATATCGACGACGACGAATACTGTGATGATGACAGCGATGATGACAGGTATGGTATGTCTAACGAAGAGGATTGCCTCCAACGGATTCGTTTGACACGAATCCGCAAATTTACCCTCCACGATATACGACAGCGCTCTAGAGAACTTGACGAGTGAGTATTTTTCCATGATAACGGTACTTATAACTCATTTGCCAATGTTCAGCAAGCTTTATATCCTAACGGACCATGCTTGGTATATTCTCGACCGTCCTTCACAACAATACACTCCCTTATTTCGTGGCTTATGGCTGAAGCATCGAATCTCACATCTTCTTGTGTCTATGTCCCTGGTCAACCCACAATTGGCTTATGAAGATTTTGTTTCTGCCCTTCATGTAGCTCCTGACTCGCCTGATGAAGTTTCTGTTGCGTTGACCATCATCGGGCGTGAGCTTGATGAAAATGACATACAGTCTGATGAGATTGTATGTATATCTATGATCCCCGTGTATTGCACCACTCTCTTAACATCAGACAGAAAAGTTATATTATTGCAACACTCAACGAGCTTTGCGACGACGGTATCAGTGTCGCGCACACTCCGGTAGTGAAGGAAATCGTTGGACAAGAAGAGTCTTATCATTTGATGGAGAAGGTTGCTCCTGCCTCCCGCTCGCGTACCCAGCGGCCGCCTCAGAGTCGTTCTTCGCATTCTAACGATATCGAGAAAGAAGTTCTTAAACATAGGAACAAAACTGTCACCACACCCGTCGTCGGAAGGGTCGCCCAACGATTATTTGAGAATATTCAGGTTTCTGGGCGATCTATAAACCAGGACATGGACATGTCGGATGACGCTCCACGTCACGCTCCTATAATACATGTCGCCAACCCGAACTCTGTGCAATGGCTGGACCCTGTGGACGATCATCCTGACTTTTATAATTCTGTTCTCGTGGACAACGTGAAATACTCAGTAAGTCCTTTCTTTTCTCGACAAAATCTGTCTTATTCGCATGAGGTCGGAGATGCTGTGATGGTCGTACCTGGAGAGGATGAGGATGCTGCTCGAGCAAAATGCTATAAGTACCAGCCCTCCCAGTCGACAAACAAACTCGCAAATGACTATTGGTGAGTCAATACCGCGTGCGCCTGCTATACTTTTTTTTTGACGGGCTCACATCAAAAGGTTTTGCAAAATTCGGTACTTCTTCGAAGATGAGGGCGTCAAGAAGTTCCATGCGCAGTGGTTCACGCACAGCTCGAAGACTCTACTCCAAGAAGCGGGCCACTCGCATGCGCTGTATTTGATGATCTCCGACTGCAGCGACGTTGAAATTGACGCCATCTCGCGAAAATGTAATGTTCGTGAACTCCCAATGGATAGTGTCCAGCCAGACGAGTCAACTCTCGAAGAGGACAATGATTTCCATTCTGGGTATGACACTTCTTACAGCAATGCCTCTTGTAACACTGAACACGGCCCCGCAGACCTATGTTCAACAGCCTCGACTCTAGTTTTGTTCAGTTCTCAGAATTGGAGACTCAGACTCTTCTCAGCTTCTGCGACGACCATAAACAGTGCCTCGCTTGCGGTCACAAGGAACGCGCGTCCAATTTCACTGATTCACGAGCCCTTCGAAATGGCTTTTCTCACAACGACGTCAACTACCACGTCGGTGACTTCGCGTATATCTCAACAGGGCATAATAGTATCTATCAAATTGGTCAGATTGAGAAGTTCGACATTAAAAGGGGCAAGTGTGTTGAAGTCATCACTCGACTCTTTGGACGCTACGATGACATTGTCCGGAAAGTCTCCCCTGGCGTTGATAAGCCAAAAGGAATCTCTTATGATCAGGTAAGGGCACCACTTGCATGTTGCTCTCTCTAACCACATCTCGTAGCGGCGCCTGTTCCGTTCGCAGACCCGGGAGAAAACAAGACCCGACGATATCCGAGGACAATGTTTCGTCGTTCATGAGACAGACGACACTATTATTGATGCTTGGGTCACTCACGATGATCACTTCTTCGTGAACGAGTGCGCTGACTCCCTCGACGTCAATTCGCTCGACGACTTAGAATCGTGGCCAGGAAGTCAATTCCGGCCTTGCTTCCAGTGCCTCGAAGAGCACCGAGCTAATCTAGCCCGCCGGGCTCAACAGTTGCAGAGGCACGGCCCACTTCGAGGGTTGGAACTTTTTTCTGGTTTGGCTGTTATTTTTTGTTGCTTTGTGACTGCTTTGAACATGTACTTGAAGGCGCGGGTGGCCTCGGAACTGGATTGGATATGTCCGGCTTCGTGGAGACGAGATATGCGGTCGAGTTCTCTCCAGGAGCAGCGAAGACTTATGAGTCAGTGCACTTTAATTTATACTCCATATACTCATACTGATCTGATGTTATCTCAGGCAAAATCACCCTAATGTGACGGTATACAATCAATGCACGAATGTATGCCTCCAGCACGCCCTTGATGTCGCAGAGGGGAAGAATCCTCGCCCCCTCCGATCCCTGGGAGATAAGACGCCCTTACCCCCGATGCCTAAGCCGGGCGAAGTCGATTTTATCTATGGCGGTGCGTCGTGATTTATTTTATCCTCGGCTATGTTTATCGTTTTGTACCAGGCCCGCCATGTCAGTCTTTCTCGAAGATGAATCACGTGAAGGTAAGGATCAGAATCTTTCTTTGCATCATAATGACAATCTGGTTCCTAGAGAGAAAATGACATACGGTGAACAAGACGTGCGGTCAGTATGTACCTGTGCTAACGATATATTGCAGGTCCACGCTCGTCTGCAACATGATCGCGTACGTAGAGTTTTACCGACCGATGTACTTCCTCTTGGAGAATGTCAGTGGCATCCTGGAGCATTCGCTGAAGGAAAAAACTGTCGCTTCGGGCGTCGTGAAATTCATTTACGCTGCCCTCCTGGCCTTGAAGTATGATTTTACACATTCGCACTGTTCGATGCTGATTCCTTTTCAGCTACCAGGTCGAATTTAACGTTCTTCACGCAGCAAACTATGGCGCGCCTCAGGCACGCAAGCGGGTTCTGTTCGTGGCAGCCAGGCAAGGAGTTCCTCTTCCCGATTTCCCGATCCCGACGCACTTCTTCCCTCACTCAAGAGTACAGCGCGTCAAGTTGCCCACCGGAGCCTACTTGGGACCTGTCTCGCGCTTGAAGTACGGTGACAACAACGCTGACCTCTCGGCCCCGCTGCATTTCGTGACGATTCACGAAGCTATTGGCGATTTGGTATGTTCACACACCACATTTTTGATGACAACTTTCTTACTCCAGCCTATTTCGCAGCCTCCGTTCGACTGGTATGAACGTTCCAAATTTGGTAACCTGGCTCATTTGAACGCTTGCATCTAGGACTAACCCCCACGCCAACATCTCGAAAACCGCTGCTGATAGAGCGGTGGAGCGCAAGCGCAAAGACAAGCTTGGAATCCCATCTTTTTCCGCGCTGCCTTCGGCAAGAACCTCAGCAGATCCGTTCGCTGGTTACTCGAAGCCATGCCATTATCCGAGTGGACCACTTTCCCGTTACCAGAAGTTCGTGCGGCGGGGAAGCGACAAGCTTATGTATCATTATACCAAACGCTTCGGGGATATTATCATTGAAAGGTATGCTTTAGTGTCTATCCTTAGATTGATGGCGCTCTGAGGTCCGGAGCTAGAACTGTAAATGTGCCCATGAGAGCGGGAGCCAATCACTTTGGTAAGTTAAGCTACATTTACATTGGCCGTGTGGAATTCAACGCGGATGCGATAGACCTGCCCAAGGAGTTGCATACTGGACTCTCGAAGCACGAGAACGCTAGGACGATATATAAAGGCAAGACGCAACATTTTCTTGTTAAAATACATCGGCTGAATCTCCAACAGCCGTCTACCAGCGCCTTAATGCAGACATGTATTTCTCGACTGCACTGACCACCGTGTTGCCGAATACTAAGGGCGGTCAAGTATTGCATCCCTCGGTACGCATTCTAGCTATCACCTTTCGGAATCTGACTCCTTACACTTCGTACGCCAGCAAAAACGCATCCTCACAGTTCGCGAATGTGCACGTGCGCAAGGGTTTCCGGATGACTACAAATTCGTCTCGGTGAACAAGGGAAGGAAGATAGTAAAGGCTATCGATGATGTGAGCGCTTGCTGCCGCTCTTGACCTTCCGTAACTGACGTGTTCCATAGCAATTCAGACAGATCGGTAATGCGGTGCCTATACCGCTGGCTTATGCTCTCGGGAATGCTCTAGGTGGGGCGATGTTCAGGATGTGGGATGCAGAGCCTAGTAGAGATGCGAGTCCGGTTCTGTGATGGTATCAATAGAGGAATTTAGCATGCGTGTCAGTATCACTGACGGCTGATTATACCTTAGTCATAGACGCGTCTATAATACCTTTGACTCTCGTGTGTGTATAGACAGGTAGCTGTTACAGTGGTTAACTTTTGCATGACAAACTAGCAGAAAGAATTAACTGGTAGAGATTGGGAGAAATGCAAGCACGAATTCGGTGTAACCTCAACTTTGTAAAAAGTTGGTGTGGTATCCTTCGAAAGCAGCGATGAGCATCTGCAATGAGCTGCGGCCCTTCAGCATCTGAACTGTTCATGTGTTTCTTGTCTTCCTGCACAAGGAGCAAGATTTCGTTTAAATCGTCAATGATGCACACATCCGTTTTGGTGAGCCTATTTTCGACACAAATGACGAGAGGGATGTCCTTCCTTGTCCTTTAAACCCTTCCCTTCTTTGCGTAGCCCAGCCTTGCACGTAACAGCACTGCCGTGCAAAATTATCGACAGCAGATTCCTCTGCTGGGGCGGCAGGAGACATAGCGAGGTCCGTGGTACGAAGGAGCTCGTAAACACCATCGTCAACTGCGTCGTTGGGCTCTGAAGTCATGAGAATATCCGGATTAACGGCGGGCTGGGGAAGGCTGTCTATCTCGAAAAAGGTGGCAGCATCCTGGTAATTTATTGTAATGTTGTATGCTACGAGCTCACCTTCTCGTCCAATCGGTATTACCAGACTTGGCGTTACGTATGAGGGCGGCCATATGCATGCTAACAACAAAGGGTACTGTTAAAAATTAGGGTGTTAGTGATGAATATTTGAACCTACAACTTGAAAGTCGAAAAGATCCCTTCAATCCGTCATGCATTCTGAAGCAGCCGACGAAACGGCAAACAAGATATCCCACGCTACCACATGAAGGGACATCAATCCACCCCGCTGCCAATAGCACATCATTAATTCAAACCTCTGTTCACACCAACATCGTACACACTGGGCTTCCAAAACTTAAGGGCCGTCCTAGTTCGAAAAATCATCATCTACCGCCATGTCTGACATTGTCAACAAAGTGGGAGGTGCTGATTTTTTAGGGTTGGAACAGTCCAGAACTTGTCTAAGTCGCTGCCTTTTCAAGCGCAACTGCTGTTCGAAGGCTGTAGATGCTAGGTCATGATGCGTCATAACGCACGCAGACGACGAAGCGCCTACCCTGCCCAGTCAAAAGGAAACGCCTCAGGCCGAAATGACGTTCAAGGACCATGAAAATCGGGCGAGATGCACAGCGCTCATCCCTGATACCCGTCTCCTCGTCATTTGCTCTATCGATAAAGTCTTCGGTCGTGGGAACTGGACATGGGGAAACAAGTAGGGGAGTCCTTGTTGGGTCACGACCACCGAGTCCTTGACCGTTGCAGCGTCCCCCGACCGGCGTTGGATTGTGAGTGGGGTGTGGAACGGAAGCATTCCTTCTCTGGGAAGTTGCGACAAACATCGAGAAAATAATGAACCGCATTTTGTTGCATTCCTACGCCCCTCAGGTCCATGCTCCCCGCCCCCACAGGATCCCCATCGTGGACATCTTTGCAACCCGTGGTAAATATGTAAGTTGTCCAGAGCTTTCAATATCCATTCCTTCATGTCATTTTCCTGCAGCGCACTGCTAATTGCACCAGTGGGAAAAGGCATCTGGTGCAGCCACCTCGTTATCCTCGCTAGCAAGCATGCACTTTTCACATTGGTGGCGGAGCCACACCTACGATCTTGCATACCACAAGCACTGGTGCTCATGCTGCAACTAGCAGACCCCCTATCTCGCCAGATGCTGAACGTGTTGCGGAGGTTAGCTGCTTGGCGATCCTCGCCAGGTGCTTCCGGCGTCTCTCACAAACACGACGAACCCGTTCTTAGCTGCTTGGCAATCCTTCCTTCGAGCTGTCACGCTGCAAGTTATAATTTGATGATATGGACGTAGCTGTACGAGTAAGTGTTAAGTTCTGACATATGCATGTATTGTGTAGAACGCAAGGGACCAAAGGAGTCCACCCAACTTAGGATGGACTGACACACGTCAATAGCACCTTTGAGTGCAGAATATACTAGTTAGCCTAGGTGTGTATTCACACGGCGGCCAAACCTGTGTATTAATTTGAAACCCTAGCGGACTTAGTGCTTGGGAAACATCCAAATCCTGTGGTTCAGGATCTTGTACGATCAGGAATGGAAAGCTGACTCTCTGAGTGCTATGACCCACCCATAGAAGCCATTGGATCATCGCGTTCAATGCAGTCACCGATTAGTAAAACATATAAATCTAAGCCACATGCACCGAAATCAGTCGTCAAGACGGCCATCGCATGTCGAAGCACAGCGAACATTCAGTTACGGTACCTGCTGGTAGCTATGCGCCCCTATAGGTAAGCCAGAAGGGAACCCTGAAATAGCTTGATGCATCTGCTATGCTGAACATAACATTCAGTGTCAGTTAGATGACTAGTGCTGGGATGAGAACAAAACGCCCTGCAATACTGACTTATTCTCCTCCCTCAAAGTTTCAACAGCAACTGAGACTTGCAAGAGGACGACTTGAATCGACCATTCACGAAAGTGCTTCACGGCAACAAAGGACCGACCAACCGCAGACTGAGGCAGTGAACAAAAGGTTCGAGGAGAATCACATACTACTCGTTAAGGGTAAGGCACACATGTGGAGTTAATCGCAAGATGGATGTACCTTGACTACCACTCACCACAATGCATGTAAGTGTCTGCTCCTCCGTGACGCTCCTACTGACTGAACCAAGATTCAATGGCCTCCATCGCCCACGAAGGCGATACATCATCCAAGGCGCCTACCTCACCCGCTCGGAAGAAAACACCTCAGGCCGAAATGACGCTCAAGGGTCATCACCGCTGGGTGAGGGGCGTAGCTTTCATTCCTGGCACCCGACTCCTTGTCAGTTGCTCTCACGACAAAAGTCTTCGCGTGTGGGATCTGGATACGGGGCAACAAGTGGGGGAGCCCTTGCTGGGTCACGATGATGAAGTCAGGACAGTTGCAGCGTCCACCGATGGACGGTGGATTGTAAGTGGAGCGTCGAACGGAAGCATCCTGACCTGGGAGGTTGCGACAAACAAGAGTGTGCCAGTCTCATTCAAGAGTCATGAGAATATGGTTCATAGCATCGTATTTGCACCGAACAGCGAGACATTTGCAAGTGCATCGTGGGACGAGACGGTATGTGTGTGGAAGAGGGAGACAGGCTGAAACGGTCCTTGGGCCATTTCAAGTGGACAGCCCAGCAAACTCGGTGTCGTACTACCCCGACGGTAGCAAACTAGCAGCAGGCTACAGACAAATCCATCATCGTTTGGAATGCAGCAAGCGGAAAAGAGCTCTTCAAGATACAACAGCGGGCATGGCGAATTGCATTCACTCCAGATGGTCTCCGTCTCGTCAGTGGAAACATGAACGACATCCGAATATCAGATGCTGCCACCGGAGACATCATTAAAAAATTTGACGCGCACACCAAACCATTTCTCTCACTAGCCATCGCTCCCAATAGCACAAAATTTGCTACCACGGCATTCGACCAGACGACGCGGTTCTTTGACTTATCCACATTTGAACCGATAGGCGAGCCATTCGAGCACCCTGATTGGGTCTCGAGTGTGACCTTTTCCGAGGACAGTCAGCTCATCGTGACGGGCTGTGGGGACACACTCGTTCGCACATGGACAGTTCCCCAGAGCGAGTCAGAGAAGGAGTCCCAACAGGCGAGTAAATTCTTCCGTCATGCGGTGCTTCATGCTGACAATAGCAGTCCGCACACGAAGTTCTCGGAGTACGCTTTCCCAGCCGTTTTTTGGAAGGTCCCTAACTTAACTCCTGCAGGATACCGTTCCAGGATTAGAGTCAGGACCAGAAGAGTTTGAACTCCCACATGGGTTTTTCGATGATGTGAGTCCCTACTAGGTTCAACACGCACATCTGTCTGACTATGCTCCAGCATGATATGCGCTCCCCATCTCAAAGGAAAACCCGCACCACTCCCCACGATAAAGGCTTTCGCATCAAGAATTTCAAGAACTATCTCTTGTCTCGCTCCTCCGCCCCTCGGGGCCATGATCCCTACCCCCGTAGTATTCCCGTTGTAGACGTATTCGCAACACGAGGTAAATATGTAAGTTTTCCCCCTTCAGAATCCATCACCCACTAATGACATTGCCCTGCAGCGCACTGCTAATGCCATCAGCGGGAAAAGGCATCTGGTACAACCACCACGTCCTCCTCGCCGACAAGCTCACACTTTTAACGCTGGTACTAGCAGGCCACAAGCGGGGACATCTAACATTTTCGGCAGACCCACACCTGCGACCTTGCAGACCACAAGTACAGATGCTCACACTGCGACCAGCAGACCCAATATCCCGCTTGGCTCTGAACATGTTGTACAGGTTAGCTGCTTGGCGATCCTTGCCAGGTGGTTCAGTCACCGTCGCGGACAACATTGAGGGAGAGAGAATATATTGCATAGTGATTGAGGTGAGGACAACTGAAGCTTGGTTGAACTTCGGAAATTATGGCACTAGGTTTGAGTTGATACGGTGTAAAAAGGAGATGACATGGAAGCATGATAGGGATCATTTGACTCATCTTCAAATTCACGTGTTATGGTCCATATGCCCGTCTCACTAGTGTACTCCAGTATGATACGTGCTACTCACCTCAGCGCAACAACCGCACCGCTCGCACCACTTCACAACATCATGCTGAAGGCTCCCGCGTATTCTTGACCGTCTCTTGTCTCGCTCCTCAGGATCGTGCTCCTGCCCCGTGAACGTCTTTGCAACACGAGGTAACTGTGTAAGGTTTCCCGAGCTTTCAAATCCACTGATAATGACTGCCCCGCAGCGCATTGCTAATGCCATTTGCATCTGATGCAGCCACCTCGTCCTCCTCGCTGGTGCCGGGACATCCAATATTACCGACGGAACCACACCTGCGTCATGCGACCTTCAGATCACACATATAGATGTCGGGCTCTGTCACTAAGGGAAGATATCGACATCATTAATCAGATAAATCTGAGATTGCGTGTGAAACAAGATAAGAAATGAGTCGTACAGAGTCATACAGATAGGCTTGATAGGTAAGGAGGGTATGTGAAAGTATTCTAGTGTACAGATCTTATAATTTGCTTATCTGTTGCTGACTATACTCTGGCGCAAAGGGCCAGTCAGAGTAGCCCGATTATCGTGCATGTACCACGTTTTTTGGTCGCCATGTTCAAGCAGGATGTCCTTTAGTAGGCAGAATGGAAGGTCGGGCTAAAGAAATGGCACGTCAGTCTCTGCCAAGTCCAAAAGTAGAACAACTAAATAGACACTCACGTTTGGCACAAACGACATCCCGAATGCAACAAGACCGCCCTTGTTATCTGCCGTCTCAATAGCGCTCTTCCGGTTATGCTCATTTGAGCTGATGAACGTGCTTCAAGTTCCCTCACGCCCATCCCAGATATCACGGAGGAACTCGCTGTTGTGTTCAGAAGTCTGCGGTTCCATGACGTGAATGTACGCTAGTTTGTGCTTGCGCAGCTGCTATGACGACCCAACTTCTATCTTATTGAATATGCGAACGCTGTCTTGAGTACACTGTGAATCTAGCAAATGATAGCACTGAAGAACATATGATGGTTAATCAATCAATATCACTTCTAGCGAAGGCATACATCACTTACTTGCGCCCTAATTCCATCTACGAGAGCCTTGTCGGCGTTCATCCAAGACTCGGAGGGCGCCCAGTGCAGACTGTAGCGACTTCGACTTGGAGAATGGCACGCCGGAGCTGAATACTCATTTCTGAAGATTGTTCCGTTCTGTTGAACATTCACATTACCACTGAATCCGAAAGAAAGCAAGCAAATTGAGGGATGACCAGTACTTAGATAAACATTAACAAACATCATGATCGGGATTGATCGGGCGGTTGTTTGGCAAAGGCTTTGGATTTAAACAAACGCTCATTGGCATTCCACTATTTCCAACTGCACCAATTCCCACTAAGTAATATGAAGCGCTTCGAACCTGTTCATCGTATGGTTCATCAAACCCTTCAATATCATTAGCATCCATCGATTCTCGAAGCTTTGTGCAATGGACTGCAACGTTGCTGCCGCCGATGGTCACACAGCGAAGCAAATACCACGCAAGAAAATATCACTAGTACCTGCCACACGGTACCCTACTCTAATATTAGGACCTGTCCTGTGCCACTTTCGGCGTATAGGACTGATAAAATGAGGTTCTGCTTGACACTTAATTTCTGGCAGGAATGCAAAGTCAGGCCAAAATGGGTCGACGCTGGGAATAATATTTCCCCTTTCTGTAGCAGAACATGTGCTTTCGCAGCACAAGCTCAATACCATCAGCCGAGAGGCTACTGGCCAGAGTTGGCACTGAGAATTCGAGCATGCCACATACTGGCGGTCACCTGTAGGCTGAGAATATCGTATGTATGATAGTTACGTACCTATGTTCGTACCTACTCATGATCTGTAATCGGGAACGGGGACGTTGAGATCAGTTTCACTATTTCTCGTATCACGTGCGGCTTGCAGGGATATACTTAGGACAGATGTTCCGTGGTCCATTGTCAGATATATATCGTTAAATGGAACATATGGGGACTCGCTCCAAGAGCACTGTCATACAGACAGGCGATCCCTAGTCTCCCCTAACCAGCCCTATATGGACGAAGGAAGACAGTCGCTCCTTCTAGGCGATCTGCCAATTTAGTACGTCGAGCTCACCCGAGAGCAATATAACCCGACAACGCACGCTCCGCAACAGAACCCCAAAGGAGTTCCCAAAACAAAGCAGTACTAGTGTCAGTGATGTCATTTAACGGAGCAGACAAAAAGAGAAGTATAGCTGCCGACACGAAAAACCACGGTCCAGTCACGGACGGTCACGAAGTGATGGACAGTGACCGATCGTCACTGTCGTAAGTTTGACAAATTGTCTCCGATCGGCACTGGACGAGACACCCGACACCCCTCAGCTAGAAGCTGGAAGGCATGCGAATTCAACAAGGAGCGGGGAGTTGGGCACGATGTCGTCCCGACGCTGCCAAACGTCTCTTTTCTGGTTCATCACAGTGATGCGGCCCTCACGTCACGGGCGTCTGCGCTCGAGAAGCGTGGAGGAAGTATATAGGTCTGGGTAGTCCACTCACCGAGGGCATGGAGTTTGGTTTGGATCTGGAAGGAGTGTGGAATCTCGAATGGGAGCGCAAGTCCTCAAAATGAGAGACGGTTTGAGAGATGGTTTGGAATTGAAGATGTGTGCTGACTAGTACATGCAGGAATCCAGGCCTTGCTCCATTGCCGGCATCAAGCTACTACTGCACCCGCATTGAGTTTGCGGAGGTGTCATGCGGTTCCGAGGATGGGTCCGTGATGTCATGCCATTTGGGAGGGTCTTTTTTCGCCCAAGAAACCTCTAGTGGACGTGCAGGATTCCCTGCAAAAACCAAGGTACCCATGCTCATATCCACCATCCTGCAAAGAAAAAGACCATCCTGGTGTGCTAAAGACGGTTGCACGCGCGCTAAAGACGATCCCACGTCTGATATATCAATTGTGGTGCTTGCTGGTTTAGCATCTAGTAGCATGGGACGGCCCAGGCATAGACAACTGCGTGCTCGAGAGGTAAGTGACACATTCATCTTTTCATGTGTCTAAGTGACTGTTAGTACAGGTGCTATATTATCAAAACTCGCTGTTGTCCTCCCAACATCTCACCCTCAACCGTCCATGAACCCCCAGCGCTGGTGTAAACAGCTCAACTACGTCTGACTAGCACTCGCTAAGGGACACATTCATCTTTTCATGTGTTTAAGTGACTATTAGTACAGGCGCTAGATTACAAAACACACTGTTCTTGCAAGACGCTGAAATCACCGTATTCCCCCACCATATTTCAGTCACCAGCCGCATTCTTGTTGCTCATTGCGACCAAACACCGCATCCCTCCTTTGAAGGCAAACATAGGTAAACAAATGCACATTGTTTAGGGGCAGCATGCTAACTTGTTCCTGTGCACATCTGGGTACTAGCTCAGATACACCAGCGCGCAGCAATAAACTAGAGGGTTTACTTGTCATCATGGGTATAAACGGCCTGTGGGAGGTATGTGCACCTGCCGCTTGCTGGATTTCAAACCTCAGTCGCTTTACAGTTACTCGAGCCTGCTGCAAAAATGGTACCTGTCATCTCTCTTGCCCTCCAGGGCCGCTACATAGGACCCGCCCCTCACCTGCCCTATGTGGTGGGGGTTGATGCAAGGTTAGCATTTGGATATCAGTGGCCATGTCCACATTTGACACTAAATGTCTACTACGATCCAGCGGATGGTTTGAACAGTGCCAACAAGGCAAGTGGCACCGAGCACATGCTCAGACTGGGCAGAATCCTACCCTTCGAACATTTCTATTCCGACTTGCCCGACTTGCCTGGTATCCACTGCAGCTTATCTTCTGCTATGACGGTGACCAGCGGCCTGGTGTTAAACGAGGACATAGGGTGTCTTCAAATGAACACTGGATGGTGAAGCCAACACAGCGCATCCTGGATGCTTTCAACACTCAGTGGATTACGGTGCGTTTAATTTCGCCACCTCTATCCTTATTATTCAAGCCTGGTATCCAGGCTGCGGGGGAAGCTGAGGCGCAGCTGGCCTTGATGAATAGGGCTGGCGTCATCAATGCGGTCATGACAGATGACTGTGATATCTTCGTGTTTGGTGCCCAAACCGTCCTTCGAAAGTAGGTGCTGCCTTTCTTCCACATCTGTGTCCTCCTGACCCTGTCCTCCTGCCTTAGCTCGACATTTTTGTCCGACACCATCAAGATATATACCATCGGCACCATCCGGGAGCAAGTTGACCCTTCTCTTACTGGTGACACTTTCATTACCATTGCTATTTACTGTGGGGGTGATTATGATAAGGTAAGCCTTCAGCCGCCATTCTGCGAACATTGATTCTCACTGACATCCATCTCAGAATGGTCTTCCAGGGTGCGGACGTGAGACCGCACTTGGTCTGGCCCGCTGCATGGACAATAGTATGCTATGCAGTGCTATGCACGGTGGCAACCAGGACCGGTCCCTCCAGCAATGGCGGAACATCGCTGAATATCACCTTGCGAGTGATCCAACTGGAAAGATGGGCCGATTGCATCCAGCCCTTGCTCGCTCACTCTCTGATTCCTTCCCTAATCCAGGCATCATTAATTTATATGCACGCCCCACAGTAACTCCACTCACTGAGCTGCCCAAACTGCGAACCCGGCCCCACCTAACCTCACTTCACTTGCGTCTCTTATTCAGCAGCTCCTGGGCTGGGACTCAAAGAAGCTTCTCGGCACTTTCCGCACTACCATTTGGCCTGTTGCCATCTTGCACGAGCTTCTGGAGGACCTTGTGAATAATTCACCTATGAGCAACGAGGTCTGTGGACCGTGTTGCTCTATCTGAACATATACTGACAAGATGCAGATTGAGCTTGGCTCGGGCTGCACGAGGGCTGTCTTTCTCAGCCGTGCATCACGCCCGAAGAAGGCACTTGCAGGATTTTTGGGGCACAACAGTGATGTACCCACTGATACGCTGAAGCAAGCCACACTCTGGCTGCTTGAGGGGTCAGCTGAAGGCTGTCAGGATGACTCACATAAGTATGTTCGAGTATGGCTCGCTGACCAAATCTATGACTGCTGGGTGCGGACAATGTTCCTGTCGTCTTCAGGTGATCCCCAAATTGAGGTATGTCTATCAAC